ACCGTCCAGCCCGACCCTCGTTATACCGGCTTGCGGGTCCGGGACCGCCGGGTCCCACCTGCGGTGATACAGCAGGGGCTGGGTGTGTGGGAACACATAAAATAATAGCTTCGCTTTTGTCCGTATCCAATTGCTTTTGTGATGTTAAAACCACATCAGTGGAGCAGTCCGTATGATTTACCACAAACGGGTTCATTCCGAGGGTGTTCGACACCTCTAGAGCTTCTTTGATTCAAAAGAATTTTATAGAATTTTTGAAGGATTAAAATCCTTAGTTTTTTTCTATATTGGTCCTTTGATTCATAGGATTGGATCCCATAAAAAAATTTCTTATAGAATCTTCTATACTACATTTCATAGGAAATTTAACATCCACTCGAACCTCTTTTTACAATTCCTTTGTTTTTTCCGTGGCATCAAACAATCATTGCTAATTCTATAGGATTCAAATGGACATGCCACTCCAACCCTACACTTTTCATATTCTTATGTTTTCAAAATCCTACGAATCAAAGAGGCCCAACCTTGGAAGATAAGATCATGAATGAATAAGACTAGTTACAATGGAAGTAACTTAACTAGTAACATCACACATTTCAATACAAGATTGATTATATGGCAGCTAAGGAGGTGTTTGTTTCTAGGGACTTTTTTGTGTAAGGACTAGAAAAAGTCCTTCTTAAAGACTTTTTTACCAAACGGGAGGGACTTTTTAGGGACTAAACTAGGCATTTGGGACTAAATGAAGAAGACTCTCAAGGAGAGTCTTTTTGAGACTTTTTAAGACTTTTTCAACAATGCCCCTTCATGCACCCATTGGCCCACCACCTCATGGTGTTGTTTGATTGTTATTCTTCTATATACTAGAGGCAACATGGTCATTTAATAACATCTAGGAAGAGACTAGGGACTTTTTAGTCTCTGAAGACAAACAGGGAGGGACTTTTTAGGAACTAGGGACTTTTTAGTTGGGACTAGAAAAAGTCCTAGGACTAGAGAACCAAACACCACCTAATTAATAAGGAGAGAGGGGTTTATGATAACTTAGGTAGTTACTGTAACATCACACATTTCAAGACATAATGAGTCTATAGCCTAATAAATGAACTCTTTCATGATACCACTCGTATGTTACTACCCACTATGGAGGTAGTAACATAGACTAGTAACATCGATAAGTTATTACTCTATGTTACTCCCTACTGTGAGCAGTCTAAGGCAAAGGTGTAACTGCATAGCGGATTAAGAAAAAACGATCTGATTAAATGTCAGTAGACATGTTTGAACTTATGTTGAGTGGGCACAGATAGAAAGTGGACACGTCATTTTCATTAATATTTGATAATTTTTATGTGGCAAAAGTATCGAACCCTACGTATCCAAGTCTTTACTCTACTCCTTGTCGGAACCGCTTTGTCGTCGTTGGTCATTCGAGGACGACGATCCTCGCACCAGGAGGTCCAGCCTCATCGTCGTTGCGGGCCGGTGCGAACGAGGTGCGGCTGTTGACATTGGCATCATCATAATCGTGCTGATTCGGCGCGTTGTCGGTTTGCGTCTCCAATGCCTCGAAGAGACGGTTTGCGCTCTGCCTAAATGACACAAAGTTGTCAACGTTCACGGTGGATGGTGCGTGCGTTGTGGCACGGACTCGAGCACCACTGTTGCTCATCAACAATACCCGGGTCTGCCGCCAACCCTTGTTGTGATGGCAACGTTGGAAGCATGCATACTCTAACTCCAGATAATCCCCGCTAGCCGGTGCTCCTCGAAGAGCACCATGTCTTACCGCTGCTCCTCCCGCAGCTGATGGAACGCAGACACTAATGGCGGCTGCTGCTCCTTCTTTGCCTCTGACATCACTTGTCTGTAGTGCTTATGCACCTGCAGCAGGGTGAACTCGACGTTTGTGGCTCCAACATCGATGTGGCATCCTGTTGCGCTTATCCCCCTTGGCGATCTCCGCCATCGCCATGGGGTCATCCTCCTCCTCCCGCTACATCTCTGACTCATCTGACCACTGCCCCGGAGAGCTCGGAGGTTGGCCCGCCGCAACGCAGCCCTGGCACCAGGGGACCTCGGCCATGTTTTTGGCACGACGTTGTGGCGACAACAGCTTCCACCATCCACGAGAGGCCCCGGCCATTACAACGGCGGACGATGGATGAGGATGAACGAGGGTGGAAGGCTTGACGCTTGGAACGGTGGGAGGAGGTGATCAGAGGGGTAGGGTTTTGAATCGTTGCCGACAAGATTTTAAATAGCTTGGTTAGGTGAAGCTTTGGGTTAATGTGAGCGGCCATAGTAGGCTTCTCATTCCCCGCGTTGGTGTGAAATGCCAAGCATGCGGATGGGCGGTCAACGCGCATGAATACGGGGTGGAGGTCGTCCCATCCGGTCATGTCCGCTATGTTTTAGGTCTGTCTCGGTTCGTCTTATGAAATTCATTGTTCAGTTTCAGTGTTCAATGTCTACCCGTTGACCAATGCCATTGTGATGTTGAACAAATGCCAATGTAAATAAACAATATTTTCTTTGTGTGAAACAAGGAACATAAATGCTAACAGGCAAGTCGGCAAAATATAGAGCTCGAACTATGGCCACTATGAATTTGTGCACAACTTCTAAAGATTAAGGAACTATGTATTGGATGTGACTTGCAAGTAACAAGTACAGCCAAAAAGAAACAAACTAAAATGCTTAAACAAGTGTGTCAGTGTCACATGCATATGTTACTTGGATGTTTGTTCTAGAGCATATGCTATTTTCTAATGCATGGTTGCTCTTAATTTAATTACTCATATTGTTTTGACAAGTAATATGTATTTCAAGATTATATAAACATCTTATGCTTTCCTTTCATGACACGAGTCATGAAACAACATGGCTCCAAGCAGAGCATATAGAATCTCCAAAGTCAAAATGGCGTCTTGGCAGCCATGAGCATATGCTCCCGGTTTTTAAAATGTGTTCTAAATGTATTTTCAAATGTCATAAAATTCTGACAATATGTTTCGCGCGTACATCTTGACATTCCACGTACTCACAAAGTCTTTTCGCAAAAAATCGACAATTTTTGTGTCGCGTGTGAAAAAAGCAAAATTCAGTGTTAAAAAGGGCTTTTCACGAGACATTTTTTTTGTCTTTTTTACACAAGCCATAGAAAATGCCGGTTTTCCACAAAACTTGGCGTGCCCATATAGGATATCGAGATGTACGTGTAAAATTTTTGTTTAATTTTTTTTGACATTTTAAAATATTTTTCCAATGACAGGAGCATATGCTCCCACGTGTCAAAGTGAATTTCCGCTCCAAAGTACTCTTTGGAAATTGCATCCGGTGTACTTTTAGTCAGATAAAATGTGTACTGCGCCTTGTGTTTATTGTGTTGTTAAGGCATAGTAGAGAATTTCATGCATGATGTGCTCATTATCAAATGCAGAGTACAGTGAACGGCAGGCCCACAGCACACGCTATGGTTTGCTTTGATATATGGCAAATGCAGAGTACGATTTTTTTTCCTTGTTCCACCCGTACAGCGTACTACACTGGCTGCAAGTCGTATAAATGCAAGGTAAGAGCATTTCTAGTGGCTTGTCTAAATTTAATAGTCTATATCTTTATATACATAAGGGTGTAAAAAGATTATCTTTTAGACAACCTAAGTTTTCTAGCGGATTGTCTATATACATGATGTCTATATTCTTTCTCATACTCCCTCCATTCTAAAATACTTGACTTTCATTTGTCCAAATTTGGATGTACCTATATACTAAAACATGTCTAGATACGTCTATATTTTGACAAAGGAAAAGTATGTATTGTGAAACGGATGGAGTATATTTTAATAGTATCTTATAGCAGCTATATTTTCTAAAAATCTTATGTTGGTCATTTATGAATTGTTCTCATTTATTTTTCATCCGCAAGACATACAAAGGAGAAAATAAACCAGCCGCAAAATTATTTTAGGTTCAGCACTAGCAACACCCTATATAATTTACGACAAATAAACAATAGCAACAGGTTCAGCCCTGATAAGGCGGCGGTCCAGATGCAACAGCCTCCGTGACCAGCGCCGGCGCGGCCGCCTCCCTGCCGATGTCCACCAATTGCTCCGAATTGGTGCATGGACGAGCTCATGAGCCAGCATTTTTGGTTTGAACATTGTGGTTTGGTTGTCCAAATGTGGACTACGGGTAGCTAGTTTGGACATTGTCTAAATTTTAGACAACGCAATAGACAAGTTACTGAAGACATTTTTTGGCATGTGCTAGTCTAAATTTGGCATGGACTACCATTTGCACAAGCCACTAGAGATGCTCTAAAGTAGGCCCACACATTTTTTACGGTTAATGACACCACTGTTTACATACATGCATTGCATTTTGCAATGCTTTTTACTACCCCATCCATTCACAAATATAAAATGTATTGGATATTCTAACATGGACTGAAATGAGTGAGCAAATACATTAAAACATATCTATATAAATTTAATTTAGAAAAATAGAACATCTTATACTTATGAATGAAGGGAGGGAGTACTAAATTTCATTTTGTAGTGCTCTCTACACTAGCTATAATTTTACAAGAGAGCAACGTTTTTTTTAACAGAAGAGAGCAATGTATTGGGACTTACTAAGCACATAAGTATGTTTTAGTTTGAACATCAAATTAAATCCACTTGCATAATAAGTATCTAATGATTTGTATTATGAGGATGTTGAAATATATTGCACATCTTAATTCATTCTTTTCGATATTTTGATAGACATAATTAATATTGTATCAAGACCAAGAGGTCCCAAGCTTAAAACCTGACCAACATCACATGCCACTACATAATAATTCGTCATCTATCCTCGAGTGAGTGGTTTATACTCCATGAAAACAACTTATAATTCACCGCTTAGGAAGGAACATCTGTGCCGGGAAGGAAGCGCGGACTGAGCCTTCTAGACTTTTGCGTCGGGTGGAAGGAGGTGGACGGAGCCAGCATGCCTGCTTGCTACCATCACCACCCTCCTGCTTGCGCTGTCGGCGCCTCACCCTTCAAGGAAGGCAACCGTCGTCGCCGTGTGGGGAGGGGGGCGGGGCTCATAGCGTGGGAGAGGGAGACCGGCAGTGACAAAGATGGGATGGTGGCTCATGAGAGAGGATAGGGGGAATGAGATGGATGGCTTGGTCCAATAGATTGCTAGACGACGTCTGCGTAGGTTTTGTGCAAAGAGGAAGGCCACAAATTAGAAGAGAGAACCTTTTTAAGGGGTATGTGTGCGCGCACAAAAAGTCACCGCATGCCAATGATCAACCTGCCACCGTCAACAACTAATACAACATGGATAGGACTGCTGCTAACACTCTTAACAAATTTTTAGGACCTAAAATATGCATTTTCATAATATTAGAAGTAACTTGATACCCCTCCAATAATTTGAGGACTAGCAGTGTATTTTACTCAATTTCAAAAGCCTACAAAGAAACCACCCCATCAGCCGCTGTATTACTCAAACAGTGCCGAATGTTTACTCGATTACAAATTTAGCCCTTCCGTATTTCTCTCCACCGCCCCGTGCCTTCCTTTCCTCTTCTCAGCAGTCTCACTCCGCCCAAGGCTGCTCTGCTCCATCTCTCCCACAGGCTAGCTGCAGACCTACAGACTACAGTGTACCACCACCGCCTGCCCTGCCGTGCCTCACACCTCTATCCCCCCCTCCCCCAACCCCTCTCCCCCTCCACCCCATCCGCCTCTCACGCGGGACGCCGCCATTGCCGTTCCCTTTCGTCCTCGTCGCCACATCGCGTCCCTCCCGCCTCCACCCCGTCCGCAGTCTTTGGCCATTGAGTTTGAGGTATGAGCTTCTTTTCTTCCAGCGACTAGTCAGATCCCACTGACCTTCACAATTTCTCGGTCTTCCCGTGCGCACCCGGCGCGCCATCTAGATCCGCCCCTCGGCGGAGGCTCGATGCCTCGATTTGCCTCTCCTCAGTTCTTGTTTTATTCTACTTTCGATGCTCGGAGTGGCGGCCTCCCTCGATTCTATTCTTGGCATTGTTTCTGGCTGGATCGTGCATTGGTTCCTGCATCGTGCTGGTAGTTTTTTTGGTTTTGGAAGAAAAATGTGCATTGTACCGGTGGTGACAAAAGGACCACTTCTGCTGTATCATTTTACGGTAGAATGGTAAATAGTAGGCCACTGTGGTATGAATGCACAGTTCAGCCCTGCAAGTTCCATAGCCGAGGGCAATCCAGTGATAATGACTGATCTATTGCTTCTAACTAAGACGGAGCAAGATCTGCAGTGTCGTTTAACTCCTCCAGGTGTTGCGTCAGTCAAAAGATCACTGTGCCTACTACACACTTCATACGATGTATCTGTTCCTTACTGTTTGATCTTCAGCTAACTCAATTCTGCCGTGTCCCAACTTCGATGCGTGTTCCAATTTGTTTTTCATTTCTATCAGTGAAGTTTAATGAAGGTTTTTTTGGCTTCATTTGTTGTAGGTTGATGATCCGTCGGAAAGGATGAACGGGAGTCGACAGATGGAACTCCACTACATAAACACTGGATATCCATACACCATCACCGAGAGCTTCATGGATTTTTTTGAAGGCCTCACATATGCTCAAGCTGATTTTGCTCTTGCCGATGCCTTCCAGGATCAGGTACAAAATATTGTAATTGTCTTTTAGTGCAACAGCTAGTTTCTTCCATTTCCTCAAACCCTTCACTGCATTGTTAGATTTCTCACTACTCCCTCCGTAAATAAATGTAAGGTGTTCTAACTTTTTTCTGAATCGGATGTATATGACGTGCTTTAGTGTGTTTGTTCACTCATTTTAGTCCGTATGTAGTCCATATTGAAATATCCAAAACATCTTATATTTGTGAACGGAGGGAGTACTTGGTAATGATGTACATATATCCATCATGTAATATTACGTGGCTTGTGGCTTTGGCAAAGGTCAGGTCACTCTTTATATATTCAGCTACTTTATAATTAAAAATGATACTTGTGAATCTACATATTTTTTCTCACAAGTCTATTAAGCACCTTCATTTTAAGAAAAAGAAAGAAGAAATAGAGTCACTCAACAATGGGAGATGATTTCCGAAAGCTCACCTGCACATCATTCAATGACTATAATACTGTCAATCATGACTTTAGTCACTATTTCATGCTTTCATCCATTGCTATCGTTTTCTTTTGCATTCCACGCTTATTTGTTGTTAATGTGCAGGCTAATCCATACTGGACGATGATGCAAACAAACTCGTATAAATACGGATATTCTGGCGCAGGAAATTACTATAGCTATGGACATGTGTATGACATGAATGACTACATGCATAGAGCAGATAGTGGACGCAGAATTTGGGATAACCCCATGCCTGTAAACAATACCGACTCCCCCAACATAGTCCTGCAGGGTGCTGAAGCTCCTCATGCAAGTGCAAGTTCTACTACCGAGGAACGTAAGTTCAGTACTTTGGAGATATGGTTTTTGGAAGTTGAAATAATCATTATTTTAGGATGGAGTAGAAATCATCATTATTCTGGGATGTCAGCTACATAAACATCTCTGGTTAGGTACTAAGGATCATTACAATATTATTCAAGTCAGCAATATGCTATACCTGCAATTAGTGTATCGTTGGACATGGTTACAGGCTGGTTCAATCAGCCACTTATGCTATACCTGCAATTAGTGTATCATTGGACATGGTTACAGGCTGGTTCCATCAGCCACTTATGCTATACCTGCATTAACACACTTCACTGGCTATTGTTCTTCCACGTTTTTGCTCTTCCTTTCTAAGAGGACTAGTAGCACATATTTTTGCTTACTGTTAGTTATATAATATAGGAAGTTTGTTAGTGTCAGACTATTAGTGACCGCCATCGTATGATCGGATTCGTTGCTAATGTTGACCAATTGGAGCACAGTTGATCGGATGCTTACAGGAGGAAAGAAAACAGAAGTTCGGAAGTGGGTTTAGAATACCTGTCTTTTGTTATAATCATGTGGTTATTTCGTTATGCATTTACAGATTACTGCAAACTTGTTAGACTTGGTCATGATACTGATACTATTTGTAACTGTTTTACTTGTTACATACTCCCTCCGTCCCAAAATAAGTGTCGTGGTTTTAGTTCAAAATTTTTGAACTGGTTTTAGTGTTCAAATTTTTTGAACTAAAACCACGGCACTTATTTTGGGACGGAGGGAGTAGTTATCTGACTAATGCCTATTTTGGAATACAAACTGTACATAAACCGCGGCACTGGATCAGCACATGCGATGTTCTTAATGGATTCTTACGCATTTAGGTACCACATGAACAGTAACCGACAATTTATAAAATTTGAACCTTTACCTGCTAGCCAAACAGTTGCTTCAACGATACATCTTTACTTTGGCACTCTGATTTAGTTTTCACTTGCAGGCATCCAACAACCTGTGCACCAAAATTCAAGCAGTCCTCAGGTAAATAAGTTTTTCGAGCAGGCTTATGTTTATTTAACTGACTAGTATTGTCCTGTGAATGTGATAGTAGGC